TTAGTCTAAAAAAAATTCGAAGAAGTTTAATAGCTAAAAGGCATTCCACTTCAATATCAAGATATATAAAAATCTCAAAAATCATTTGAAACTTTAAAAAGGAAAATATACATGTAAAAATCTACAACAAAATAAAGCTTAAACTTAATAAAAGAAATTGATATTTTAATAATGGATAGAAAATCCTAATTCGAATAAAAGTAAAAAAAAAAAATATCTATTTATATATTAAAAAAATAAAAGTTAAATAGAAAACTCTTTACAAAATCAAATTTAAATAGATTTTGATAAATTAAATAAAATAAGTAGACATTTAAACAAGAACAAAAAGTCATTAAGTTTTTTGGATTTTAATGGATAGTTTTGTAACAAAAAATAAAAATAAATTATTAATATTTTATTATTTTAAATAAAAAAGTAATATTTGATAAACTTGCAAAAGATTAGTTTGAGCATATATATGAACCTCTATATAGGACAAACTTATTTCAAAGAATGGTGAATTAATCTTAATAAAGAATAATCGACAAATATGGAAAAGATTTAGTTCAATCTATTAATTAAAGTGAAAATAAATAAATTACTATAAGATATACTATTTATTCAGAAAAATCAAGGAAAAAATATAGTAAAGAACTAGATAGAAATAATATTAAGCTTGAAGATATATAAGAAGTTTAAAAAAATGCTAATTTAAATATTTTTGAAGATATTTATTTCGCATATCTTTAAAGTTTAACATCTTAAGCTTGTATAGTTTAATTTGAAATGAATTATGAATAATTAAGTTAATTTGCTAAAGAAAGCAAATTTGAAATAAATGAAGTGTTTTTTTAATAATATAAGGAGAAAAATCTCAAATAATTTGAAAGTATTATGCTTATTACTAGATTATCTAAATCTAAACAAAATTTAGATATCAATAAACTTTAAAAAGATAAATAATTCTAAAAGTTTTAAAGTAAAAATCAATAAATTTCTTTTTTTATTTATATTGTAAATAAAAAAAGGTAAAATCTAAAAAAAAATATCCAGAATCTAAAATTTTAGTAAAGAATAATAAGAAAATAATTAATAATTTAATTAATTTTAAATTTAAAATGATAATATTTAATTCTAATAACAAATATAAAATGAAGATAATTAAGAAGAAATAAATAGTTTTTTATAAAAAAAATATGAATAATATACTTAAGAATAAGATGATGATATTGGATATATGATAAATAATAATGATTTAATTAATGATTAAGATTGTGATATTATTTCGTCTTTTGATAGAGAATAATTTAACAATTAACTTCATAATAATAAATATTATTATAATTTAAATGAAAAGAATAAAACGAAATAATTTCAGTAAAACTATATTTGAATTAAAAATTATAATTATATATATATATATAATATAGATAGATATTTTTATTATTTATTATTGTTTATTATTTAAAATATTATGGTTTTTTTATTTCTTTAATTATATAAAAATAATATTTAGTATTTATTATCTATTACTTAATTTAATAAATTTTAAATATATATTTCATCTTATTAATAGCATAATATTATAAAAGCAAACATCATTTTAATAATAATCACTTACATAGTCTAAAATAAATATATTATGTCCTTCTTTTTGAATGCGTTTACTTTTAAAATATAAATATTTTAAATATATTTTATTAAATAGATACTCTAATAAAAAGTAATAAGTAATCAGTCCGTTCTCAAATTTTTTATAATTAAAATCTAATAAAATATCAATATTAGATGTAAGAGGATTTATATAGCCTTATTTAATTACAAAAAATTAAAAACTTTTTATAGTACAAGGCAGAACTTAATTTTGATATGTAGCAATTTATATTGCAATTGCATTAACTACTAACATTTCTTAAAGAGTAAATTAATATTGTCCTTTATTAACGCCTTTTTAAAAATGTTAATTAGAACTTTTTTATTATAAAAAAATAATTATTCGAAATAAACATTAATTTAATTATATTAAAATATACTTATATTAGGTTAATAATGTTATTATGTTATCAAATTTGATTTCATATAAATTTAAGAAAGTTTAAATTTACGAAGTATCTAATAAATGCATAAATAAAATAAATAAATATATATAAATATATATAAAAAAATTATATATATACAAAAATATATATTTAAAATTGTATATTATATATTTTCAAATTAATAGGTATAATATTTATATTCTATTATTAATAATTAAATATATTTCACTTTTTTTAAATAATTATAAAAAAAAAAAATTGTTATTTTTTAAACTTTAAAAACACAAAGAGTAATAAATCTGAAAAATTATAATAAAAATATATAATATATGTTTATATATAAATATATAAATATTTATGCATAATAATATATAATTTTACTGTTTTTTATTCTAATAATATATTATTTATATATTAACTTTTTTATTATTTAGGTTTATCTTTTTAAATAATTAAATCTTCTATTTTTATAAGTTTATAATTTTTTTTTTTTTTTTACCTGTTTTTATTTTAAATCTATAAAAATTTTCAAAATTTTTTCCATTTATATATTTTTTTTTTATTTTTTTACATATTTATTTACTTATTTAGAATTTTTTATACAATTATTTAAATTAAATTATTTATTAATTAATAATTCTTTTAAATTTTTATATTATAAAATTAATTCTTCTGCAATTTTTATTGTATTTTTCATTTATTTATTTTATTTTATTTTATTTTACAATTTTTCATTTAATGCTTCTTCAGGAATATATTTTAATTATATATAAATGAAATTAAATATTAAAATCGATAAAACTAAACTTAATATTGCAATCATCAATATGTAATTACTTTTTTATCTTTAAATTTTTTAAGGAATTATTTGATTAGTAATATATTTATTGTTTTTTTTATACATTTTTTTTTATTATTTTTCATATTATTATTTTTAATATTTTTTTTAATTTATTTATAAAACATTATAAAATTTGTTTGCTAAAGTAAAAAATAAATTTAATTAAAATAAATAAATAATTATGAAATAAAGTATTTCTTATAATTATAAAATAAAAGACATTTAATATTTTATCAATAATAATAAAATTATGATTTTAAAAAAAAAATGATTAGAATTTAAATAAATTTATTTTTATTTAAAAAAATTAAAATTAATTATTTATTTTTTATAAAAAAAATATATATTAGCAACTTTATATTATTATAATTTTTTATCGTAAATATGAACTTTTTCAGATTTTTTTTCATGTGATTATATATAAAAAACGCTTGCAGAACTAATATATAAAATAAAATTAATAAATATAAAAAATATTAATAATTTAAAAAACTTTTTTATCTATGAGAGAAACAAAAATTTCTGTAAGCTTAACTTTTTCAAGGAGCTCTTTAATTTTTTTTTTTTAAATATTCAATTTTAATGAAAAAAAGTTAAGACTAATAAAGCAGAAAAAAAAATAAAAAAAAAATGTTTTAGTAGATATAAGTGCATAAACATTCTTTTTATGTAAAGTTATAAGTCTTATTTGATAAATAAAAGTCAAAGATAAATTCATTTTATTTTGAAAATCATTAAGATATTTAACTTGTTAACTTAAATCAAAAAAAAAAAATATTTTAAAATAAATAGTACTTAAAAGATATTAAAATTTTTTGTTGAATTTCAAAAGATTTTAAGAAGATAAATAATATTTTTTTTAATTAATTTATAATATTATATTATTTAAATATTAAAATATTATATATAGTAAAATTTATTGTTATAAATAATGATATATGACAAAAATTTAATACACACCTAAATAATGAAATTAAATAAAAATAAATTATATTAAAAAAAAAAAATGAATAAATAAATAAATATTTATTGTTTTTTCTTTAAAAAATAAATTAAATTTTTATTATTTTATTTATTAAATATTTTATTTTTATTTTTATTTTTTTACAATTTATTTTTATTTTTTGCATTGTTATACTTATTTTTTATTATCATTATCAATTATTTATTTTAATATCAAACATTTTAATATTAATATTAATTATATTTATTTATTTTTTAAATATAAAAATTTAAAACAATAAATTATTACAGATTTTTTTAAAAAAACTTTAAAGTAATTATAAATAAAAATAATTGTATTTAAATTATTTGAATTAATAGATTTAAAAAAAAATGTCAAATATAAAAGTTTAACATGTTAAAAATGATAATAATAATTTAGATTAAAAAATGCAATTTTCTAATTAAGAAGCAGGTTTTTTTAAACAATAAAAATTTTAAAGTATTATAAATATTAAATAATATTAATGATATAAATTTAGATAATTAATATGCTTAAAAAGATTTATAATAATAAAATATTTAAATATAATAAATAGTATAAGAAACTAATAAAATACTTAATAAATCATATTAAGCATCTTAAAAAATTATTGATGGATCATCATTGAATTCTTTCACAAAACCAAGTATTTTTTATATAAATTTATAAACATTTAATAATTTAATTCTAAAAATATATTTAATTTAGAATAAAATTAATATGGAATTGCTTAAGTATTATCTTTATCTAATAATGATTAAATAGATGAATAAAATAAAAAAGGAAAGTCTTTATTTTTTGATTAAAACAAAGGTAAAATTATAAAAATAAATTTAATAAAAGTTTTATTAAAAATTTAAAAGTTATTAATTTTAAAAAATTAAAATTTAAAATTAAAAAAATTAAATAATTGATGTAAACTTTATAATTTTATAAAAAAATAATAAAACTAAAATAATATTTCTTTTAAATAAAAAACTATAAATATTTTTAAAACATTATAAAAGATAATAATAGCTCAATAAAAAATGACTATATTTAAAATAAACATAATTAAGATATACTTTCAAATAAATTATATTTTGCCTTTATGGTATTTATTTCTAGTTTAGGAGGATTTGTATATTTAAGTATATATTGCTGCTATAATACAATGTGGGATCACATACCTAAAATTTATAATTGGTCAGAAGAAAATCGTAATTATTTAATCGGGATGACAAATTCCTTACTTTCTTTTGGATAATTATTTGCGTGTTTATTCAACGGATTTTTAATGTAAAAATATGGCAGGAGAATTGCCTTAATTTTGGGTCATTTTATATGTATGATAGGCAGTTTATCAACTTTTTTTATAGTTAATACGCCTTTAATGATGTTTGGAAGGTTCCTTTAAGGCGTTTCTTAAGGTATTATTATTACAAGTATGCCATTATTTAATATTGAGATATCACCAAATGAATATAGAGGTACAGTGGGTGGTATATAGAGTTCTTTTTTTGGATTAGGGCTTATTATATCATTTTTATTCGGTTTAGGATTAAAAGATTATAATGAAAATTAAGAAGATAACTATTGGAGGTTTATCTTGGCAATACCTTTTATTTTTTCTAGTTTGTCTTTATTAGGATTTTTGGGATTTGTAAGATAAGATTCATTATTGTTTTTATATTAGAAATATAAAGATAATGAGAAATTTTTAATAAATAAGTTTAAAATTTACTTAACAGAAAACTAAATAAAATTATAAATCGCTTTATTAAAATAAGCTGAAGCATAATAATAAAATACATAAAAATTATCTGTAATAATTCTTTTTTCAAAAAAATATAAAATGCCAGTTTTAATAGGATTGATGTTTTTTTTAACTCCACATTTAAATGGAATTGATATCCTTAATATCTATTCTTCAGAAATTATTAATAAATATGATTCGAGGTATATTGCGAATATTTTTACAATTCTTATTGCTGTTGCGGATTTTATATCCTGTTTTCTTTCTTTACTTATTATTAATAAATTTGGAAGGTATATATAGTCTTTAATTTTGTTAAATACAATATTTATTTATTTTATTTTATTTTTTGTTTAAGAAAAAATTTGTATATGATTGGATAATAATGTTTAGCCTTTATTATTATTTTATATGTATTTTTAAGTTATAATGATTATAAATCTTACCTTAAATATATATTAGTACTCTATAAATTTACTTATGGAATATTTCTAGCTAATATATTAATTTTGTACACTTCGGAAATACTGCCAGCAGTTGGAATTTCGCTTATTAATACTGTTGCCTTAGTTATATAATTTGGTTTATCTTAGACTTTCCCAACTTTAATCTCGAGCGATTTATAAGTAGAAGGTATATTTTTAATTTTTTCCATTTTTTCGATTATTTTTGTTATTATTGCGAAATTTTATATGAAAGAAACAAAAAATATTCAAATTTAAGATTTAGCTAATTTATATAATTGAACTTTTGCTATAATTTTATTTTTAAATAATTGTATTTCAAAGATTTTGTAATATATTGTTTGAAATGTAATATATTTTTTTTTTAAAAAAAAATAAATTATTTTATAATTATCTAAAAGATAAATTTTACATATATAATATTTATTTTTCTTTCAATAATCATAAATAATACCTTCTTCTTATTCGCTTTTTCTAAATTAACTTTAATATATTTATATATTATTGCATTCTTCTTCTTAAGAAGTTCTCTAATTATAAAAATTATTTGATTGAAAATTAGAAAAGTTTCCTGAATTTGAATTTTTTTAAAATTAATTTTCTTGCTAACTATTATTTTAATACTTTATTTTATTTATATAATTATATTTTTAAACAAAATTATATAATTGATAGTAAATAGTACTTCATTAAATTTTTCTTATAAATTATATTATGTTTTTTTAAAAATATCATTCATTTAATTATTGTAAATTTAAAATTATCTCAATTTATTATTAGTTATATCATTTTCACCTTATTTTTTTTTTTAAAAAAAAGTTTATAAAATATTAAGAATTAATGAAAAATTACTTTTATTATTGTATATATAATTTTAGTCAACTACTTTTTATTTTTATAAATAATAATATTTATTTTTATTTTCTCTATTAATAAGAATAAAATAATTAATATTTTTTAATTAATTATATGTTTTTACTCTATTCTTTCATAAAATTACTTATTGTAAATATTTTTCTTTAATTTTATATATTTTTAATTTAAAAATAAATTAAAATAATACATTTTCTTCTTTAGTATTATTATTTTATAACTTGTGTTCTGTTAATGTCTAGAGCCTATCCAATTAATTTACTTATTATTATATTTCTTCTTATATTTATACTATTATTTAATAATAAATAAATATATTTTTAAATATTTCATTTTGTTTACTAAGTTCCTTATTTAAATTTTAATAACTAATTCTATAGTTTTCTAATTGTTTTCTTTATTAAATTTTTCGATCTTCATCTATAGAATTATTATTTAGATTTTATTTAATAGTGAATTCTAATTATTATAGTAGATTTTCATATTCTTAAATTTATGTTTATATTGCTTATTTGTTTATATTTTTTTAAAAAATTTAAAATATTTGATCTTTTAACTTTTCATTTTATAACTTAGACACTATTCTTTTTTTAATTTTATTTTATCATTAAAAATATAATTTATATTTAAAATACTAATTAATTAATTATTATAATTCTTTTTTTTATTAAAGATCAGATTATATATTTGTGAAAAAGGATTTGCTCTAATTTTAGTTAGTGAAACTTTAATTTTAATTTTATTCTGTATTTTTAATAAATATATTTTTTTCGTTGATTGTTTATTTTTTAAGTTTTTAATCTATTAAAGACAAATCGTTTTAACTATATTTTGTTTTGTTATTTTAAATAAAGATAATTTATATAATACTTGGTATTGATTTTATTTTCGTAAGAATAACTTTATTTTAACAAAACAAAAAACTTTAAAATAAAATAACAAAAAAAAATATTATTATTACTTATTTTATTTAGATTATAATATATGTGCAAAATCTATTAGTAAAAATTTCATAATTTTAAAAATTTATTGAATTTATAATTCTGTATTATTTTCTATTTATTAAAATCCACAATAATTTTCATATAATTAACTTGCTTATTTTATATTTTAGTTATTTTATAAAACTTTAATAGATAGCTATATAAAGAAATTATGAAAATCTTTATTAATTAATTTTATTAAATCATTTAATATTACTAAATCTAAATTATGATTATTTTATTGAAAACTTTTTGAAAAAATATTATTTTATTCTTTATTTTCATAAAAACTATTTTCTTTCTTCAAAAAAAAAATATAAAAAATATTTTTATAATTTTTTTTATTTACTATCCTGTTTATGTTTGGCTTTTTTATTTAATCTATTTGTATCATTTTTAATTATTCTTATAATTTAATTTTTTCATGTTCCATTTAATTATTTTTTGATTTTAAGCTATTATTTTCATTTAATTAGTTCAATAATTCACTATCTAATTCTTTAATTTTTAAAGATTTCAATTTATTTTTTTCATTTTATATATCGGTTTGTATTTAAATTTCTTATAAATTATATGTTAGTTTATCATTTTATTACTTAAGTTCCAAAATTTAAGATTATAATTAGATAATATCATCTGTCATTTTATAATAAATATAATATAAATATATATTAAAATAAAAAAAAAATATAAATATAATAAAAATATAGAAACAAATAAATAAAAAAAAAATTAAAATATTTAAATATTATTTAATAATTAAATTCTTTTAATTAACATTATATATTTTAAAAAATATATAATATTATTCTATTCTTTTTAAACATAATGATAATAATTAATTTTAAAACATAATTTTTTTAAAAAATATATTTTTTTATTATTTATAATGAGTAAATAAATATGTTTAATAATAAGTAAAATAAATATTATTCAGTTAATTATTATAAAAATCTAAAAATTTAATTACTATATTAAAAATTAATTGAATTCTACTCTTAATTTTGAATAATTAAGAAAAAAATAGAAAAAAAGAAAATATATTCATATATATATAAATAAATAATAACTTGAAATAATAATTATTAATTAAAATATATAATTAATTAATAAAAAAATAATGATTAATAAATTCTTTACAAAATAAGCCTCTTAATTAGTATAAAAATCTATCAAAAATCACGGTGGATTAGATCGTTTAGCATCTTCTGATGATGCCACAAAGGTATGCTTAGAATCAATAGCTGGAACAATTAAAGGTCTTTAAAAAGCCAATTATGTTGTTGAACATAATCCAAATTTAACTGCTGAAGAAAAATCTAAACTTAAGCAATTCTTAGTATATCGTTTTGATCCATCAGTAAAATTTATAAAAATCCAAATTTTAATTTATTTTTCAAAAAAGGATCCTCATGATTAACCCAAATATATTAGTTATTGGGTAGATATTAAAAAATTTTCTCCTATGTTCTTAGACGCAATTCTTTATATTAAAAATGAAATGGATCCTACCCTTTCTATTAGAAGGTAATTAATTCTATTATTTTTCATAATTTTTTTTTTTTTTTTATCATTACTATCTAAATATTTTCATAATTTTGATTATTTATAAAAATAAAATAAAAAAATATTAGCATTAAAATTTCTATTTATATATAATATATATAAAAAATATTTTTATTTAATTTTAAATATAAATATTTTTACACTATAATAAAAAAATACAAAATAATTATTATTAAATATTATTATAATATATATATATAGATCATGTAGAGAAGGTATTTGTGGCAGTTGCGCAGTAAACTGTGCTGGTCTTCATACACTTGCATGTATTAATGGATTTGACAGAGATTTATAAAAACCTACAGTTATTACACCATTAGGTCATATGTTTATTTTGAAAGATTTAGTAGTTGATATGACTAACTTTTATGCTTAATATAAAACTATTGAGCCTTATTTAAAGAGAAAAAATCCAAAACCTGAAGGTGTTACTACTGAGTATTTATAATCTCCTGAAGAAAGAGCTTTATTAGATGGTTTGTATGAATGTGTACTTTGTGCAGCTTGCTCTACTTCTTGTCCTTCTTATTGGTGGCATCCGGATAGATATCTTGGTCCTGCTATTTTATAATAAGCTTATAGATGGATTATTGATAGCAGAGATGAATACACAGATGAAAGAATTGAAAGACTTTCTGAAGATGTAAGACTTGATGATTGTTAATAAATCGGTATGTGCTCTTTTACATGTCCTAAAGGTAAAATTTTATTAATTTTTTTTTATATTATTATTTAAATAAAATAAATAAATAGGTTTAAATCCTTAACTTTCTTTGAAAAACTTGATGGATATGGTTAAAGATTTTAGAGCTAGAAAGGCTGAATCAGAAATACTTTGAGAAAAAATTTATTTAGTTTTAAACTAAAAGAGTCAGATTTATATATTATATATAGTTGGATTAAAATATATATATATATTTTTATTTTATTTTATAATTAATTTTATTTTATAAAATAGATATGCATATTTATTATAAATTAGATATTAATTACTTTTTTTAAGATTTTATATATTTATATTTTATATATATTTTTTAGTTTATTTATTAAATATATAAACATTTTAAAATAAAAAACATTTAGATTATTTATTATTTATATATAATTTTATATTTATGTGTTTTTTTTATTTTCTTCTTATTTAAAAAATAAACATTATATTTAATTAATTATGAAAAATATCACAAATCCTTAAAATGTACATATATTAATTTCAACTACTATAAAAAAAAAATAATAATAAAAAAAAAGAATTAAAAAGCTGATATTCAAAAAAAATATATTTCTTAATAATTATAAAGCAATTACAAAGTAATTTATAAAAATTTTGATATAAATTAATAAAAATAAATAAACTATTTGACACATAGTAGATAAATGGTTAAAATAAAGAGCTTAATAATTAAAGTGAAAAATCTAAAAATTAAAAAAGTTTAAGTTAAACATAATTTAAAGTAGAAGCCTATTCAAAAAATTAGCAAATAGACAATAGAATAGTTTATTTAGAAGAAAAATTAAAATTATATTAAAATGAAAATGAGGCATAAAAATAAAAAATTAATGAATATGAAATATAATAATAGACATAAATAAAATAATTAAAATTATAAATATAAAATATGAACTAAAATATAATACAGTTAAATGTAAAAATAATTATTTTAAAAAATAAACATATTTATAAATACAGAAATAAATAAAAAATAAAAAATCTTAATAATAAAAAAGCTAAAATAGTAGTTATAGTAGTAAAAGTATTGATGAAAAATCATAAAAAATAAATATATGTAATAAGGAAATTTTAGAATTATCATAAAAGTTTATAAAAAATATAAATTTAAATGAAGAATATTAAAATATTTTTGCTGAAAATAAAAATTCTACAGAACAATTTAGAAGAATAGTGTTAGAAAATAATTATCAGGAAGCTTTAAAAATAAGCCTTTAATTTATAAATTAATTTTTAGAAAAGTTACATACAATATAATTAAAAAAAAATATTTATTAACAAAATAACAGTTTTAATATAAAAAATAATAATAAAATAAATAATTTTATATAATAATAATAATAATAATAATAATAATAATAATTATAATAATAATAATAATAATAATTATATATAAAACATTTTAAGATAAAATTCTTATTAAAAAGCATCTTATTTTAATATTTAAGAATTATCGAAAAAATAATAAATTATTATCAATAAATAAATTTAATTGCAAAAAAGTTAATAAATAAATTTATTAGAAGACACTTAGTTTAATTAAAAAATATTTTTACGATAAGATTATAAAGGAAATCATTCATCTGCTGATTTTTAATAACATTATATACATAAAAATAAATAAAGTAATTTATGATTTTTTATGTTTTAAATATATATAAAATATTTAATTAACTTATTTATAACTTTTATAGTACTTAATTATATCATATATCATAAATTTGTATAAATATAATTTATAAAAGCTTAAAAAAAAATTAAAAATTTTAATTTTTAATTTAAAATGTTTGATATCTAAACAATTAATTAATAAATATATAATAATTATAATTATTTAAATTAATATATAATTGTTTATTTTTTTTGAATATAATTTTTCAATATACTTTAAACTTTTATAAATATTATATTTACACTTAATTTATAATTTTTTATACAATTTTTATTTTATATTTAATTAATCAATTTAATATATTTAAAAAATTTAATTGATATAATAAAAAGTAATATTTAAATATAATTTTTTTCTTAAATTATTAGATCATAATAAAAATAATATTGTATAAATTAATATAAAATTAATTTTAATAATAATTATAATTAAAAAACATAATGAAATTTAATTATATACAACTATTTATATATATAAATATATATTAATATATGAATAATATAATTATAAGTTAATAAAAAATAACATATAAAATATATAATATAAAATAATTTAAATAAAAATAAATGCAAATATATATATATATATATATATATAT